ATCCTTCAAAGCAGTTTCTGATGTTTTGTATTTTAATTTTAAATTTCAAATATTGTGCAGCATTGAATAAATTGCGCTGCATTTCGCACTGCAATTTGATATGCAAAAATAGTTTCACAACTAAATGTTTTCGAACTACTGTCAATGCGGTTGCCTTTCCCTTCACCATCGCTTTCACCATCGCTTTCGCCATCGCTTTCGCCATCGCTTTCGCCATCAGCTTTCACCATCAGCTTTCACCATCAGCTTTCTCTTTGTTTTCCATGTATTTTGTTTTGTTTTGAGTTCTGCAAGTTTTGCATTTCAATACAGCAGTGTTAATGTTGGCTAATGAGTCTTCAGCAATTTGGTTGCTGCTCAGTTTAATAATTTCCATCTAACTCGACTGATTCTCTTCCACGTCATCCAGGTACGTTGGAAGTGTAGTCAGTCGCAACAACAAAGGATTGAATCCAAAAGTTAAACACACCTAATGTAAGATGACATTTCGGGTATAGAGCGCTTGGCACGTATTTCCTTCGAAATGTTACACAATTGCCATAATCATCATCAGGACAACTATACAACTATACAACTATATTCACAAATTGTCTACCTTAAGGTTGTGAGTTATTGATTAAGTAAGGAAAAAAGATTAAATGTATATCAAACCTGCATTATGTACAGATGCATTGATCAACTGGCGACTGCTGGCAATATGGCGATACAATGTAAATATTCTTACTTTGGAATGTTGCAACAGTATAGATAAGTGAGTGCTCAAATGGGCTTTAAAAAGTTGTGTGTTAAAGAAGTTGCAGATAATTGTAGTTTCTCCTTTTGTAGTGCATAAAGTATCTAAAGGGATATTAACGTCTTGATGTAACGAGCTGTAGAATAGAGTGCAACGTAGCAGTACAAGATGCACTTAAAGTAAAGGTCACCAACAAAATAACCGTACATCGCATTTTTTTTTTTTGATAAAGTTATGTTTTTGTATTACGAAAATACACAGTGACAAATATTTGAATATTTAATGACTAATAATTTTTAACAATATCTTTATATAAAACTATTATTAATTAACTTCATTTTTAAACTTGATTTTTATTAAATTTAATTTTAACGTCAGTTATGACGGTAACGACTATTTTATTTAATAGAAACAATTGTATTTAATAGAGAGGTTTCAAACAGTAGTAAATTGTAACAACAAAAATTTTTATTTATTTTTAATTAATTGAATTTGTTTCATTTTTATGTAATAACCATAAAAATTCTATAAAAGATTAGAAAGCCATTATAATTATGAAACCAAACAAATTTCATATATGGAACTTCCACTATATGGCCTCTACTAAAAACCTTCCCTCATTCAATACAAATATAAATGCAGTTCTATTTTCTGAATATGAAATGCTGAAGATTGTCATTGCTGTTGAGTCATAATTTCAGACTTTTATAAATGGACTTTTCTTTAACGTCCATGAAGAAATTTGTGCGTTCGAAGGTCGACTTGCAGAGAATATCCAATACTGCGAATCCAAATCTTTGACCTTATATTGACAAAATTATAGTTACAGAAGAAACACAAATACACTCATAGAGCACAAACACACTCTTAGAAAAGACAGTAACATGGTTTCTCCACAGTCATTCAAAATAAAATCGTTAAAATTCTATAAATCGAATTCAAAGATTTAAAATAATAATTGTATGACATTTCAATCTTTATAAAAATTGTTTCAAATTGATAGCAGAAATAGAAAGACAGAATCACACTCTTACAGATATTTATTAAACATTTAAAATAATTAATACTCCATTTTAAATAAATACTTCAGGTCAAGTTAGGTTAGAGTAGGGGCCTTGTACCCAAAAAAACTCAACGGTAAATATATAAACTCAAATAATGGATCGTTGTAGTATCACAGAATTGACGTGTGTGTATACATGGACTAGAGATCAGCATACGATCAGATTGGGTTTATCTTCCTCTATTAGATGAAGATGCCCCAACCTGACAATTCTTGGCTAAATCCCTAATTTTGTAGGATGACAACTCGGTCAGATCATGTTTGACTTGTTGTCAGAAAAGGGGCTCCAAGATTTTAGATCTTTTTCTACCTGAAGATGGGCACTGTGAATAATTACTTGGTCATACCGAATACTGTTATAAAATGCGACTTTGTGCTACATTTGTTAAATGATCATATGGTCAGTTTATGATTATATATCTTTTCATATGATTAGACGATTATTTAGAACTCAGATTAGATTATATAGAAACCCATATTTTGTTAAATTTATATAAGTTAACAATTATTTGTATATAAAAAAAAGTTAATAGTATAATTACACCCAACAATATTTTTCCTAGTGTAAGTATGATTAAATTTTAAATAGATATATAAAACCTTTCTTGAAAAATAAAGTGTGAAATTTAAACTGATATTTAAATTAGTGACAAAAATTGTAACAGATACTGAACCTCATTAATCAAATGAAAACTTGTCAATAATTTTGGTATTTTCTTTAGAGTTGATCTCCATTAAATTAATAGCAGTATTGATTTTTGAGGGAGTGGGTCATTGCGACTACGTTGCTGGGGTTCAAATCATCCCTTAAATACTTGGTATCATGGGAAATTGGTTCTAATGGTTTTTTAAATAAAGACTGTATGCACTTTAAATTCGTTTTCAAAACCCCACTTAAATCTCTTATTTCTAATGCGATTAAAAAGATATATGAATTTCTTAAATAAGTATCTATATAAGCTATGAGGGAATACAATCAATATTTCCAGTAGACCTCAGTATTCCTAATTTGATTAGAAAACTGTGGGTAAATAGAAGTATTTGTAACATTAAGACTCTAGTCCGTCAGAAATAGGAACGGTGAGCACACTGCTGAATAAAAATCGATATGAAATGTGGATGAAAATCGACAATTATTAAACAAACTACGTTTTCAAGAACGTAATAATATCCTTCAGAGAGATATTAGTTTTAGAGCATAAAGATTTTTTTGTCCAAATTTCTTGAAAACAATGACCATACTGTTGAGAAATGTTGTAGATTCAATTCATTATTTGATTGATCCATTATTTAATGGAACTATCATCTGTAGCGTATTTTATCTTTACGAAATTCGTAAACAAGCAAAATTAAAGTTAGGAAAATGCAAGAAAACACTGGTATGGTCTTAATATTTGCTTGTGGATGTTATTGAACGGTTGTTTTTTGACCATTAGTGGGTAATACTTCACGAATATAATCACTGATTTTTTTTAGCTTGGACAAAATATGGTCTCAACAGATTTTTTAAAAAGAGAAAGTTCAAAATATTCAGAAAATATTTCAGCACACTTTAGTAAGAGTTGTAAAAACGTGTTAGCAAAGTATTATTTTTACTGATATATAATAATATACTGGTACTGATAATTATTATATATTCTTATATATATCTATATATAGTATTATATATAAGAATAAGCATTGCATTTGTTGAATATTATAAATGTCATTAAGCTCCTTAATGAACTTGTTCTGTTTAAATTAAATAGCTAATATTTTTTGTATGCGCGTGTTGGGACTTAACTGTATGCATAACATGACTCTTAAAGAATTCAATAAAATATTCAATATAATATTTAGCTTCTGAAATTAGTGCCTAAGCAAAATGTATATAAATTTATAGGAAGAATGATTTCAATGTTGCAATGTCAATATCTATATAAAATCAATGGATTGATTATATATCTTAGCAAAGCTATTCTTATTTTACTTTTAACTAAAAATATTTTTCTTCGATTATTGGAACTTTTGTAAAGAATTTAATTGAGATATATTGCACAACGAATCTAGTAAGTTACTTAGTGTGAGTGGATTTGTTCCTGACCAAGCTTATACCTCTTAATCATGATGTTGTATACGTCATAAAAGTTTTTCCTCTTGCCTCTTTCAGAAAAAATTTTCTTTATTTTCTTTATTTAGTTTATTTCTTTTTTTTTTGTTTTTTTTTGGTTTTTCCTTGGTTTTTGTTTTTGTATTATTCTTACATTGAGTTCTAGTCTCTTTTTATGTTACTTTTGGTATTTGAGTTTCTTATCTTATTGCACTTGAAGTTAATTTGAAAATATGGCAACACTAAATTAAGTTACATACTACAACAAAAAAGTGATTTAATGCCAATTCTTCCTCACCGAAACGCAAAAACTTTCGCAACTTAAGATGTTAAAGCGGAACAATAAGAACACCAGCAATTACCACAAAACAAAGAAAAATAAAAGGAAACATAATAAAATGAAACAAAACAAAACAAAATAAAATAAAATAAAATAAAATGAAATAAAATAAATAAATGAAATTTTAAAACAAAAAGCAATTTTCAGTTGATCTACGTTGAGATTTTGTCACGCCAGTGTCGACGAAGAAGTGTCTTAGCGGCAGAAATAGGAGTAAGAGTAGGAGTAGGAGTAGGAGCAGAAGCAGTAGCAGCTGCTAGTTGGCTACTGTGTTAGTGTGCGGTGTTGCCACCACATTCGTTAGGCGGCTGAGGAAATAAGAAGGCATATTTGGAAGACGAGGAGACGATAGCATAGCTTAAAGACTTTATAAATTTCACTTTGATTTAGTGGCTGCAAATGATGTTGTTTGAGTTATTTTGGTTCCTTTAGTTTTTTACTTTTAAGGTTTATTGTTGTCGTTAATGTTTCTTCTTTGTGCAAAGGTGAAGTTAATTATAACATGAAAGACTCAATTACAAAAGTTTTTACTGGAAAACCCAGAAAGTTAAAAGAGCGTCTACAAAAGACAACAAGTCAAACATGACACAGGACAACGAAGCGCAAGTGAATATGTTGCATGCCTGAGCATCCTCTGACTGGGTGTGTTCGAGGCAGTGTTCGAGGAACATGCTTTTCTGGTTAGTGCATTTATTAAGTAAATTGCGTCATAAATTTTTTGACAAAAATTATACATATAAATAAATTATTTTATTTTATATTATGCAAAACTTACTTGTTGTGAAGAACAGTTGAGATTTCCAAGTATGATACTTGGATGACGCAGAAAAGCGAGGATGTGACTTCTTTTTCTTTTGCAAACTTATGATTAGCACCGAAAAACTTCTTATAAGCTTTTCGACAACTTTTTTAAGTCCACTTACTTTGCGCTGAATCAGAGTCTTTTCTTAGTTGAATTATGCTCAAACGTATAAAACTGTTTTCAATATTTGAAACAATTTTATAATTACTATTAATAGAATTTATTTTGAAAGCAAAGATTTCTAGGTGAAATTAATTATTTTACGTATTTATAAACAATATTTTCTTCTTAGAAACACTTTAAAATATTTTGGAGTATACCTTACAAACAGAACAAGTTTCGACTGAATGCAAATGTAGTATGCAATTAAAAAAATTTTTGATTTTCTTAGCTATATGTCAGTTTGCTGACGTGTCATATATATTCACGTTTCCATAGCAACCAGTAATACAACCCTGTGTTTTAAAATACCAATTTTATTGCTTGATAGCTCGTATTTTAAGTTGGTTGCGATAAAATGAGACTCCGAGTTAGTACTATGTTCTAGTACAATCTGAAACGCCGATTACCATAAATCAAAATCCCTTGATATTTGCAAAACATATGAAGTAATTGTTCCAAGGTGATAAATACATTCAGACAATACACAACATAACTCTATTGGATAATAGATAAAACATGTCATTTGTCCTGCTAAATGGTTTAGTATATTGTTACCAAGTATATTACCTTTTAATGTATAATTTAATAAACGCAGAGATGGAGGCCTTAGAAATATAGAAGATTAAAATGAAATACATAGAAATATCTATATTTTTATTTATGATATACTATGGGTTGCAATAATTTGTGCTCTGGAGTTTGTGTATTTTTCTAATGGCTTAGTACATCATAATATAGACTTAAGTTGAGTTTATCTGACGTAAGTTAGCAGTTTGTGCTTCAGATATATTTAAGTGTTTACACTTTAACTTTTACAGGTGAGTTTAGCAAAAAGTAAAACAAAAGAAAGTAAACGAAAAATAATTTCAAATAATTTGCTTTTAAATTTTTTATCATTGAGTTAAGTCGCACGAGGTAAACAATTTTATATCAAATTGATTTTCAACGTCCATTTAAAAAAAAAATTAATATAAACTATTGTTTTCAGTAGAGTAGTGAATTGCAACAACAACAATTTTTCATTATTTTTTAATAATAAGTGATTTAAAATAAATAAATGATATTTTGTACTGATAATTGAGAAGAGGTTTCTTAACCTCTCCAGTAAAAAATGATATTAATATTAAAAAAAAGTATATAAAACTTATCATATATCTATTTCTGTTTTGAATTTATTAAATATTATCGATTTCGATTATTAATTAATTCATTGTCGTATTTTTATTTGTTACTGTATTTTATTTGTTTTTTAGAAATTTATTTTGATTTGCAGATTTATATATACTCTATTTTTGTAAAAACTGGCACATTATCAAATTTGAGTTTTAAGAGGCAGCATTAACTACTCCAATTAACTTAAATGATAAAAATGCACTACCCTAATAAATCTTTGTATAGATTTTGTATAGAATATATAATTAAGATCTACAAGCTTTTCAATCTGAAAACCCAAAATGAGTTATGTACAATAGTCTATTAAATAAATCTTCGTATGGATTTGGTATGGATTTTGTATAGAAAATGTAATTAAGATCTATACGCTTTTCTATCTGAAATCCGAAAATCCGAAAATGAGTTAAGTACAATAGTCTAAAAACACTATCATATGAGGTACATACTTTCTGTTCTGTTGTACATGTTTTATACTTATACATTTAACATATATAATGAAACTGTCGTGGTATGATATAAAGATCGAAAGTATACAAACTAAGTCCTTTTTCTCAAGAGACTAGATTCGGAAATAAATAATTTGCCTTTATATAATTTAATAATCTCCTTATGAATCACAATAAAGCTAGAAACGTTCAACGAATATTTTGAGATATATTTCATTTTCTGCTGTCAAAATTGTTTTTAAAATTAGGTCGTAGCATTTTCTATGGCAGGGATGTTATTTAAACATTCTCTTTTTATTGATATGTAAATTTTCATATATATTTTAATGACGTTTTTATTTTTGACATAGTCTCGAGCTTCAGTAGGATATAGTGGAATCACAAGTATTTTACTTATATTACTTATATTATATTTTATTATATGTATATTTTATTTACAAGTATTTTACATTCTTTTCTCGAAAAGTGAGATTCAATAATCCCACTGTTTAATTTAATTATAGTTCAAACTACTTTTCGAGAATAGAATGTTACTAACAAATCATTTTTGGCTTTAACAAAACTAAACACACGTTATTTAAATAGCAACGTTGCTCATTTGGCCACTGCAAAAAACCGAAGTTTCGGCCCCAAAAATCATGCTCATACTACGCACTACCTCTACGAACAATAAAAAATAAAGCTAATAGGTCTAATACCGCTACCGTAAAGCTGCACTTAATCGGTAAACTTAAACGGAAGAATAATCAAAAATTGGCCGACTAATCAAATTTATTAACTTCTTTTACATGTCCCTGAATGTGATCATAAGAGCACTCGCAAATACTTTCAGTCAAACCCACTTCATGCCTAAAAAGCACTAACCAAATGTTACGAAATTTTCCAGGTAGAAACCGTTGGGAGTTAATGGTCACATCCGCGGTCTTAATGAAATAGTATATAAGCTGGTTTGCAATCCATCGCTAATAGTATCATGTGTAGTTCTTAATCGAAGATCTCTTGCTGAGATCAAGATAGCAGATAACATGAAAGAATTTACAAAACGAATTAATGAATTAGCATATGGATATTTGATTGATCCAGTGCGTACCTTCCCGCTAACAGCAACTTGCGAACGGTTTTAACGCATTATTGCAAATTTGATCCGATTGCACATAACTATGGCATGTGCAGAAAAGATCAACATGCTTTTAAGTATTCAAGTATACACTCAGGATTTTGGGTTTGATGGTGCTTGAGAACCTGATTTTAGTATTATTTATGATGCGAGTCGAAGATACCTCTATAGTAAGCAGGTATCTTTCAGGGTGATATAAAAGAAATAAAGAGGATGGCGGAAAATTTATTTGGTGATAGGAAAAGAGTACTATTATTCAAAAATGATGCCACAGGGGAAAGGTATGCATTCAGTTTGTTGCACAATATAAAGGGGTCCTGGACAGTGATTAGAATTGTGCAATCATAACCATACGTTGTGAATCTGACTCCTTCAGAACTTAGATATTTTTAGGATGAAAAGAATCGGTGATAAAGAACTACCCTGAGGGACACTTGTCAGTTGATAGTTTCGAGTGCCTTCATTATTCCGTCAGACACTAGAGAAAGACACACTCTACTTCATTTTCCACCAGTGGATACTTTCTATCTGTCACAATTTCATGCTTTCATGCGTTATGAGAAAATTAGTAAAATCAACAAATTTCTTGATACGCGCTTATCTATGTTCATGGCAAAGTTCAGCTCTTGAATTCATTTCATTTGATACTACCAATACGTACAGGACCATAAATCTATTGAAAAATAACTTTTCATATTCGTACCTTCTAATTGTTAAATTGTTAAATTGTTAGTAGGTTATTTAAGATTTTGTTAATATTCTTGCCATATCTGCAAAGATGGAAAGTAGAGTATTCTCGTATGTGTTTAGATTGTCATGAACTGTTCTTAAGTAAATCAAAAAAAAAAAAAATGAAAGATTCCAATATATTATCATTCTCCTTAAAAAGTAACGAGGATGCGGCTTTTTCAAGGTTGCAAATTTCTTTAGCAGTCATTTGGTTAAAAGTTTTGCACAGATGCTTCATTTTATAATTCAAACTATTGAATGACAAGCACACGAAGTCGCACATACGTAAATCCGAAAGTGGGACCACTTACCAGACCAAACTTCCTGTGATAAACGTGCCGTTAATCCAACACATATATAAGTGTCACCATAATTGGTGCCATAAGGATACAATGATGAATGAGTTTTTAGTAAAAAATTCTTCAGTTCACTTTCTGCTCCTCCGCCGAGTACACATCACCGCAGACCTTTGCACATAAATCCCAAGTAAAACTTTGTATTCGTCTTAACTGCACAGCGAAAATGCTGCATGCTCGCAATCCAGACGAGATGCTGCTGAAATAAATTCGAAAACAGAGGGAATGAATATTTTGTTTTAGTGAAGGCACGCGAAACAAGTGTTTCACTTCTTGCATTGTTTTTGCTTGTGGAGTGCACAGTAATTCAACCTTATCCGCAGGATGTTTTCCCTATTTTTGACATTGTTATTATTCCCCGGTTTTTTAAAGCTTCATTGTCACTGTTTCTCTTGCGTTGCGCTATGGTTTTTGGTTCATTTTCATATGTTTTGTATCTTTTTGGTCTTCTCTACTGACTGGTAGTCGCGCTGGCCAAAGTTGATAATGAAACCACGGGAATGTTCCAATGCACGAACGTATGTGCTTCTGTTCTCATCTATTTGATATATTATAAGTAAATGCACACTTTAATAATATCTATCACAACAACACATATATAGTTTATTATTATAGCTGAGTGCTGTCATGATGACGTTGTAAAATGTTCAATATTTTATATATGATTTTGCTTTTTCGCAGACATGAATTAAGTTTTAAGTTTTTTCATAACCTTTGTTTAATCACAGTTGCACAAAAATACATGAACCGGATTTCCATAAATTGCAATTCTGCTCAGGATTTCATATTTTCATATTGATAGAAATTTAGTCATAAAGACGCTTTTTTGATATTTAGTACAAACTTATCTATTTATTATACTTCTAGTACTTATTTTTGTACTAGAAGCAAACAGTTCTCATGTAATACTAACAACAGATACTATAAAAAAATCAATTTATTTCTAATGTCTAACAAACGAAGTTCAATTTCTTCAGTACTTCTTCAGAAAAATGCAGATCTCCATTAGTCTGAATATCCGGTAATTTAGATCAGAAATCAGAAAAAGCAAAATACGTATTATATGCCTTGCAATCTTGCTCAACCACTGATCCACTAATCCGAATTACATGTGATAAACATATATACTCGTTGATTTACTTGCTTATTGTAGTCTCATCTCTTAGCTTAAGATGGGCACTCACACATGCGATGGAGCACAGCTT